TCGAAATTCATTCATACACTATATATAAGATTAAAACCATAAACAAGTTTGTTCTATAAAAATTGTGCAAAAATGTGTTACAATGACAATGTTGAAGGCGTTTAGAAACTCTTTTCATTACTATAAAAATATAAAAAAAATATCAGTTTTGATAAATTGTAAATGCAACCCGGTTTGGTTAGTTTAAATGTCCGGAATGATGTTGTTTGATGACAAGATTCCACTTTGCGGTTTTACTATATGCACACACACATTCTGTGGCACAACGAAAAAAAGTTAAATAAAAAACAAAAATATGCACTTTGTGTAAAAAAATAAGCATATGATAGACATGGTGCCGTAAAAAATGCAATGGAATGTTATTCATATGTGACTGCATTTGCGATATATCGCAAAATGTATAGAAAAAAAAAGAGAAAACTTGCAATCATTTGATACGGGTGGCAAGAGATGAGATTTCAATCGGTTTGAATTATGATCGGCATTTATTGGCATGCAGAAATCAGCAATGAAGAGAAATAGAAACATTTTAATATCACAAATTTCCCATAATAAGTAAATATGGTGGAAATAAAAATAAAGTTAAGATGTACTTGCCCCAAATAGTACAATACGCTCGTTGATGTCGGTGATAGAAATGTCAAGGATCATAAATATAGAAAAATTATCGTAACTGGTTGCACTTTGAAGATTTCTGTTGCATCGTGATATCAAGTATTGAATTAATTTATGCTTCGGGGATATCACGGGCAAAACAGTCGTATGCAAATTGAATAGATTTAATCAGAAGTTATTGAGTATTTTCATTAGGAATAGTGGTTCTGATATAAATGGATTTCGAGAATTTTAATGGATATTCAACCTTTTAAAGCCCTAATTGTACTTAGTAAAATAAAAATTCAACCATAACAGCATCAGCATATATATTTAACCGTGTTGATTTACTCACTTAAAAGTCATGCCCACAAGTTTAAAAAGAAACAGTAACAAGATTCACATTTCTAACAAAAATTGAGGCTAATAACCCAGTCATTTAAAAATATAAAAACATTGAGAATTAAAATACGACTACTTATAAGTTTATTTCATTTTTTCGTATGGTCAAATGTTGCTGATATTGCAATTGATATTGCCTGCCATTATCTGTTTATATATTTAACATTACATATTTTTTATTTAAATGACTGTTGATGTTACATTTTATAATTCAACATGGTTTTACATGCTTTTTTGGTTAACAAGCCAAAACGATCGAGACAAGAGAATGAGAAAAAGTTGGACATTAAATAAAGAGTGGAGAATGAAAATGAATATAAGTATTCAAATAATAAAAATGCTGTCGATAAAATTGTGAATGATGTTGATGACGTTTCATGTAGAGAAACTTTAATGAGATTTTAATTGTAGCCAGATATACCGCTGTATGCGTAATCTACAATCAACATTTTTTCTTCTTTTATCTTCAGATGGCTCTTATTTAATTTCATGGGGATATGACTTTCTGGTCTCACAACTGTATCGAAATAATTTACTCAATTGTTAATTGCTGAATGAATAGAAATTCAATTAAAATTTTTGTGTGAAGAAGACTGAAACTTAAAAGTTCAGAGCGCATTTAATAAACCAACAATATATAAATTTTTAAAGTAGACTTAACGGAAATTCAAAACTTGAATTTTTAAATTTTCTCGCTTTCTTCAAAAAATATATTTTGATAAACAAAATTATTAAAAATGTGAAAATGTTGTTTTTAGGCAGATTAAATACTACAAAATGACACATATTTGCTTGCTCATTAAGATTTTATCAATTTAGAATATTTAAGCGTCAAATAAACATCAATTAAGCAAAAATTTTGATAACAAAAGTTCGATATGACAACAATTTTGCTGATTTATACATTTTAAAAGTAATTTCTATCTATGATTTCAATAGTTCAAAAGACACAAAGACGAAGTAGATACAATTAATCTAAAAAACCTAGCTCTAAAAAGTTTTAATCACCTTTCCGATGGAAGTTGAAAATTAAAAATAGAAATAGAAATAGAATAAATGTATATGGTGATGCATGTTGAGCACAGAAGGTGGAAGTACACTTCCATTGTTCTAACAATCGTACATTCATTCAAATCTATTTAAACCAACAATCAATCCTAAGACATCAAATCATCAACTTTTTTTTTTTTTCAATTTAAAATGGTATTTGTATTATTTGTTTCTTTAAGAACAATTGCGTGTAAATCCAATCGTGCGTTTTACGATCTTTTTTCGTGTCATCATCAGATCGCGCTGACATATTCCTATCGATTTATTGATGATTGCATGACTGTAGAAATTGTAAAATTGAATACAATCTCGACTCTAAGCTTCAAAATGGCATACTCATTAAACCAATCATGAAAATTATATTGACTGGAAATGAATTGAGCATTGAAATGTCTGGTGATTAAGAAATAAAAGCAACATATATGCACGTATGAGTAACGAGAGGGAGAATTATATTTGAAAAGGATTAGAATACAATTATGAATATTGACAAACATGCCTTGTTACAATTTCACAGTGTCATTTGACATGTTTCTCGCACGACACGCATTAAAATGCAGCTCGAGAGAGTTAGCGCATGCATTTATTCATACATATCCACTTATTGACATACAAAGGGCATTAAAATGTTAAAACATTTTTAACAACTTTTCAATTACTATGAAATTTAATTAACGTAAGATCAGCTTGAAGACGATTACATTGAAATTGTTAATAAATTGATTTAAATAACTTTTTTACCCTCTCTACTTATGCTGCAACATTTTAGAATTCATTGAATCAACTTTTCGAGTTAAAAAAATTCAAAACGTGACTACTTGACAGTCAATTATAATTGAATGAAATAAAAAGAAACTGTTAAACCTTTTCATTTAGCATTTTTTTTTTCTTATTCCTTACTCTCACTGTGTATTTGAACACTGAGTCATGATAATGAAATGGAAGTTTTTGTTTCAATTTTCGGGATTAACATTATTACATTTTATAAAGTCAATATTTATTGTTTTAACGGAAGTTAAAGTTTTACATTTTATTGACTTGAGGAGTTGATATCAACTAAGGAAGGGAGCTAATGACATCCATCTACTCAATTTCAAAATTTGAACTAATCTAGTACCTGGGTTAAGAAAATTTCAAAAACCTCAACCAATCAAAAATATCACAGTAGCCCCTTGTTTTCAAACGAGCTCAGTAAATTACAATATTTCCATTTCACAAATTAAACCCAAGAAATTAGTGGAAATAACCAAAATAAAATCAAATTACAGCATTAAAGGTCGACTATACAAAGATTTAAAAGCTCTTGAGCAAAAAAATGCAAGAAAAACCAAATTTGATACACTGCTCATACTTGGTCAAGGTAAATACTGAAGAAACTGCAATTTAACGACATGTTTTATCTGAATAAGTATTTAGTTGCAGTAGAGATTTCATTTGAATTTCACCATGTCTGATGCTCGTTTTCAAAGAGTTGTGAAAAACAAAAATTTTATATCTACTCGATTCATTCATTTATTTATTTATGTAGAGAAATATAAATTAATTCTCGATAATGAAACAGATTAGAGTAGAGTTTGGGGAACCTGTTAACAGAAAACAAAAAAAACAGCTGTTTTTCGACGAAAAACTGAAAACAGAAAACAGGTCTCAAAAACAGATCTGTTTTTCATTTTTACATATAATTTACAGAAAAAAAAATTCTTAATTTTTTGAGGAACTTAATATATTTTTCTAGCATTCCAAATTGAAATGTATTTACTATTTTAATATTTTTTGGGTGTTTAATAGGTTTGAAATCATTATCAAATTTATGGTTAATCATTATTAATTTTGCAATCGAAATTTTTAAATTTGTTGAACCTTTTGTAGCATTTACTAAAGTTTAAAAATATAATCAACAATTTTACAAGATATTTTTTTATTCAGAAAGATTTTTTGTTATTCAAAAAGATTTTTTGAATATTTCAAATAAAATATTAAAGTTTATGGAACTTTTACAATGCAATGTAACTTAAAAGTATAAATTTTTTTGATTTTTTTTTGCATTTTTATATTTCATTATATTTTTTAGAGTTAATTAACAAAAAAATTAAGAAATAAAAATGCTTAGCTCTAAAATGTATGCTTAACTGCTTATAACCACCCAAAATTTTCATTATCTTAGAAAAACACTTAGAATAACTCAGTTTATTTTGAATTCTAGAAAAACAGGAAAACAGCTGTTTTTAAAAATCAAAAACCGAAAACAGACTGTTTTTTCAAAAACAGCTGTTTTCCACAAACCCTAGAGTAGAGCGAGAAAATCGCAAAATTTTCAATATGAAACCTAATAATCTCCTCGACAACAGTGTTATTTATTATGTGAAATAAGCGACTAGATGCATGCATTTTACTAAATAGTGAGATCATAACACCCATCAAATAAGATTAGTATGTAAAAGGGAAAAATCAAAGGAAAATTTGCCGCGCACAGTTTCATTTAAAGTGAATTATGTGAGACATTTGCAAGCTCTTCTGGTATAACTCAATTACGGCATAATTATTTTGCATTGTGCCACTAATTAAATAGTCAATAATTGATGATAATAGCATTATAATTCTTTTCATTTTCATTTTTTTGTGCTCGCGATATTTGCACATGTAAGCATATCGAAATGTTGTTGTATCTTCTCACAGCAGCGGGTACGACGACGACTACGGAAGGCAATAAATAACACACAAAAAGAAAAACCAACATAAACTGCAATAACAATGCAATTATTTATGTTGCATCAGAGCCTCTGATCATTGATGAACACTGCATCGAGAGGCTTTTTTTTGTCAGTGCTCCTCGCTCTCTTATAGGATGCTATTAAATTTTATGACATTCTCATTGATTTTATACAAGATGCATTCATATTTTCTTATAAATGTATGACAACAAAGGCAAGATAAGAGAGAGGTTTAATAAGAAAGGTTGATATTAAGGCATAAGAAATCAAAATAAGAAGAGAAATTTATGTTCTGTAAATTGATGAAGATGTGCATCAGCTAAGTGATGCAAAAAAAAGGGAGGTGATCATATTGACCATAACGAGATACAAGCGAATACTTATACTTAATTAATCATAATTGACAATCACTTACAATGATGAACAAGCGAAAGAATCACACATATGAAGCATATAATTTACATAATTTAATTTATTGATGACATCATTATAATTGTTAAATGCTACATTACTCATTTCTTTATTATTATTGTTCTTCTGATTACAGGCATCACCTAATGATGGACTACCGCCAATCGTATGCATTAAGTGTCGCGAGCAGTTAGACTCTTGTCATCGATTTCGACGCGTCGCACATCAAACACATCAAGCACTCCACGATTATCTGCAATTTACCTCAAAGTTAAATGGCACGCCACAGGTGAGTTTTCTCTTTCATTTACACTCTTGACGCGGAAAAGTCTTAACTTAACACTCGGGGACTCGCGCGCGAAATATAGGTTCGGCATGAACAGTCGTAGAATGTTAATAAATACAACAAAAAAAAATTAAACAATGTAAATAAGAAAAGATCTTCAATTCATGTACTTTTGCATTCAAATTAATTCACGAGAAGCATTTAAGAGTTTCCAATGCAAACAATTTGTTTGTTTATTATGCAATTGAATTGTGACAAAAATTACTACGCAATCAAGATAGAAGAAGGCAGGCAATTATTATGAACATTTGCAATAATATGAAATAGCAAATAAGCTCTAAAGACACCTGAATAATAATTTTTTTGTAATATTGAGAAAAATTGGATGAGAAGTCTGGTCAGATCAGGTAGAGCGCATTTTTGGGGTACATGTTACTTTAGTAGGTCTTTCAATCCAAACTGAGCATAAATTTGGCACTTAGAACTAAAATTCATTTAGACCAACATCCAAGACAAAAGAATAATGGAATGTTAAGTAAAATCGTGGGATTATATCAATTTATGGCATTTAATTCTACAAAATCACTCTTCAAACTGTATAATCTGAATAAAAAGATCACAAGAAGCTAATCCCGAGTTCTCAAGCTTCACATCAACTTCCTGTACTTAACCACCCAAATTGCATGCAGCAGCGCATCATTCAATGCAAAAAATAACGCGATAAAAAAAATAAAATAAGCAAATGCGCGCGAGAGATATAGAGGGAAAAGAGAGTTATTAAAATAAAGAAAAAGGCAGATAAATTTCAAATGATTTGTTTATGGAAATTGTGTAAATGGCATGAAGTAAGTACGTAAGCATGTGAATGAGTCTCTCTCACATTTTATGGTAAATTTATTTAAATGAAATTCTTTCTGCACCTTCTGTGTGTGTATACTTATGTTTATAGTCGATTGAAGGCTTCAATTCTTGCTGATATCAGCAATTAAGCAACATGCTCTCAATATACAATTTTTTTTATACCATTTATGCGCAAGTAAGTTGGCAGTTGTTTCATTTTCTATAATTTTAAATTAAAGTAATGTCAACTCCAACAGGGTGTAATGTTGCAGAAAATTAGAATTCATAGCACATAGAAGCTGAGCTGCTACTATTTCGCTGTAACTGCTGCTGTTTAAACGCCTTTCGCTTTTTCCTACAATGCACTCAATATTTTCGCAGGCAACATCCTTGAGTACGAAATGCAATCTCCATCGGAGCTAGCAAATTAAGTTAAAATTTATTGTCTCAAATTCTACAATTTTATTTTCCTTACCGCTGCTAGTTCTCATGATCTACGACAAAATAAATAGACACTAAATTGCAATTTTTTTTTAGTCAAATAAGAGTGAAAGAGAGTGTGTTTGTATGCACAGTCAATTATATGCCTTAGATATTCCTCTTTATGCAAATTTTACGATTAAGCAACTGCAAAAAGCAATTAATAAAAATAATATTTATAGATCATTTATGTCTATTCCGAAATATACATTTTTTGCATCATATGTGCAACCCTCTCAACCATAGACTGCTCCTCCTTTCAGTCACAATATAGCTCCCTCTCTGTCTCACCTTCCCTCGAACACCGAACCAACGGTACGGGCGGTGTGAAGTTTAATGAATATTAATGAGAATTATGGCGCACATAAATTTATGATATTGCCAACATTTTTTTTTTGCTTCACTCTTCATTTAGTAGTTTTTTTTTTCCTATATCCGTGCCTAATAAACTAGTAGCTAATGACGATTTAGTTGAAGGTGAAAATGGCTTTTACTACATTACAAATGAAGCAGCTCATGTAAATTATGTATGTAAAATAAATAGAGAAAATGAGAGCCTTGTTCCTTTAGGGCTACCATGCTGTGTTGCCTTATTCGCAATTGTGTGTTGTTCAGATTGGCAATTAAGATTAAATGTCGCGCGCAAATTGGAGTGAAGTGAATGGGAAAAAATATATTTCAATTCTATTTTTTTTTTGTGATTTGTCTGTATACTATACACACTGTATAGTGATCACAATCGATTATTTTCCATGCCTCTTCTTTCCTCCTCTTTACGTCACTTATGTAGATACTACTATTAGGAGTGAATGGATTTCATAAATCTGGAATCTAAATATACACATCTGCACCCTTTTACTTTTTTTTCCCATCTCAAACGTCCATCAATTTTTTTTTTTTTTTTTATATGTGAATATGTAGTATGAGCAAATGTTGTATCTAATCGACATAATGGACTATTTGACCTTTGAGCAATTTGTTACATTCGATTATGACAATCTTGAAAATCATCATATGCAATATAAATTAATAATAATAACAATAATTTTTATTGAAAAGTGATTCACCATTTGCTGCACGATGGACAAGGGTAATTGGCATGATAGGTAGTTAGATTGTAGATTTTATGATCATGTTATTGCAGGTATGGGAGATTTTTTAAGTCAAAATGATGAAATATTGAGGAGATTGATTGGTGAAATTGATGGATTGCAATTTTTGCCACTTTTTTTGGAATGATTGCTAACTTTAATGTTGCCTATCTTTAACTTGATTTGAAATTATTTGAAAATTAAAATTAAATATGAGAAAAAATTTAAAAGTAAAATATTTTAAATTCCAAAAAACCGTTAAAATTCCTAGCTTGTCAAAATGCAGAAATACCAGGAATTTTAACAATTTTAACGAGCATAATACAGTTCTAAGAATACAAACAGAATTATTTCTTGGTCACGACAAAAATGCACCACATTCTCTCATAAAACGTCTATCATACTCAATAGTTTTAACAAAACAAGCAAACAAATCGATTTGCTGTTTACCAATATTGAACTTCTGAATAGTTTGTAGCTACTGTTAGTTTCTCACGTTCACTTTATTCGTGCTTATAATCTCAGACTTATCAGAATGAGGAGGTAGAAATAAGAAAACAAAAAATTTACTTTAGATCATTATCAAGAATCAACATCCGTTAGATGAAATTACTTCTTGCAAAAGATCTTATAAAGTTTATGGGTTAACACATGTTTTGCATTAATGAATTGAATTGAATTGAGGATGAAACGTTATCATGAAAATTAAAGAGTTTCTCTCGCTTCCATATCGAATTTATTTCGATTTGATATAGTCATAAAGAATTAAACGACTAATGACTTCAACTTGAACAGTTTTCGTTCAATTAGTGATTAGAACAAGTTGTAGCTTTCAATTTAACAATTTTTTCACTCCATCCATTAATTTCATGCTTAAAACTGACTTAATTTGAACCGCCAAATGACAAAAAATAACAGATTGCCATTCTCTTTTGTCTTTTTTTTTCTTAATACATAGTTTGCTTGCTTCATACCATAGAACATGAAATTACTATGAGATTTGTTGCCATTATTAATTTATATTTCATTTGCTTCTTACCTTATTTGAGGTGTTCGTCCAGTCACATTAAAGGCATTGGCTAAAAAAAACATATTTCCCGCCATCAACAAATCATATAATTTGGCACTTTTTGGATATTTATTTTTTTTGTGGATTTAAGTTTGTCCCTCAAAGCTCTTTGCAGAAAATTTAGATCAAAATCTCGACTTACTTGACGACTTGGAACCGATGGTATCCACTCGATTTTGTTTTTTTTTTTTGTGTGTGCGAGGCCTTTAATGCTTTAAATGTAATAGATAATTTGGCGCGGTGTGTTGGAGACCTCCATTATCTCTCTATTTTCGTGCCTAGATAATGACTCAATGGCGACTGGAAATTGTGTAATGGACGTTGATATTAAACAAAACATAACAGCAACAACAAAAATGAGTCAAGAGCCATATTTTTTGAAATTGAAAGTTGTAGATCAAGCTGTTTTGTTAGAAGAGTCTGTAAAATGATTATTTAAAGTGATTTAAAGGTTTTCCCATCATATTTGTCTTTGGCAGCGCGCAAAAAAAGTCGTGAATGAATTTCTGATGGAATGTTTGACGAGATGAATTATTGCTATTGTTGCTATTTATGTCTTCTCTATACAGATCAGATGGAATGAAGATGTGAGTTAAAGAGACCATTAGATTAGACCTTTTCCATCATCAAAACTTATGTACTTAAATGGAACATGAATATCAAATGGAAATAAACCATTTTTCATTATTTATGCAGTGCAAAATAAGTTAAAAGCAGTTAAAAGTTGATTATTAGCTTGTTTTGGGATGGATTGTTTTCTGTGCTGGTCATTTTGGAAACCAGTTTAAATGTTTGAAAACCGTTAAAATTTGATTTTCGAAATTTCGTTAAATTTAAGACAGCATCTGCCTTTATTAAATATCATTCCAATTACTCCATAATTCCATACCTTATTATTACTGCATCTCAAGCAAACAAACAATGAAGTTCATATCGTTTTTGGTGGGCTCACATTTCAATTCTATCCAGTCATCTTCCTCGTATTGTCAGCATCACTTGAAAATGCCAAATTAAGCCCTGAGTAGATCACAAATGGGACTCAAATTAGAAATCGAATATAATATAACATGACGAAAAAAATAAGGTTTCAAATTGAATGAAAACGTGACATTTTATTATCGTGAGATCTTTGATGACGAACGAAAGCAGCACAAAAAATGAGAAAAAGATTCTTCTCTGCCATGCTCTCCTTTTTGTCATTGAACTAAATCCATTCTATGTCTTTTTTTTATTCGAGTAAAATCACATGTCGAACTCAAATTGAGTTGATAATCATGATTAGGGACGACACTTTTTGAGGTTAGATCAATAAATGAACGAAATTTATGCCTGAATCGATAAATTTATGCCAAATGCTGCATGATTTATTTATTACATATTGTGTGAGTCTATGGATAGTCGATAAATTGATGTTAGATATCCGAAACTATCAAAAATCCATTTTAATCTCATTTGTTCAGAAAAATAAATTTAAAAATCGGTAGCTTAATAAAAAGCAAATGATTGTGTATTAGACAAGCAAAAAGATTATCTCAGATTTGCGAATTGAATGCTTTTAGTGATTTTTAAGTTTTTGGCATTTAAAATGTTTCAAAAAGTTCAAAAATTCATAAAAAAAACTTTATGTTCAAATCTCGAAGAACCGATCCACACTCCATCACCACAAACCCAATTATCCATGTAATTTGTAAGCTACACATGGCTACACACGCAATTCCATTTCATCCAAAACGATCAAAACATACCAAAAGAATCAATTCTGATAAAAAAAATCAGCTAAAAATAATCATTAAGCTTAAAATTTTCTGGCTTTTGAAATAAATAGCAGCAAACTTAAAGCAGGAAGATATGCATTAAAGCCAATTCATTAACGAATTCTAAAAACAACATCAGATGTTCAGCATACATAAAAAAAAATATTTCGCATTTGGATGGAAAAATAAAAAGAGAGAGAAAAATACCGAAAAAATGGATGTTTTAAGCAATTTCCGGTTCCATCTTCCCATAGTTAAGGTACTTTACGAAACACAATACAAAAGATGATAATGATGATGATGAGAGAGAAAGGAAATGTAGAGCAATGAAATAAAAAGATCAGAATATGTGAATGTATACATTTAAGACATTTCGCGGTGTGCGCACGGAAGTGTAGATAACTTTTATCTCTTCTGTTATTCTCTGTGTCTTGTTGCTTTTCATTTCATGTTCGAAATACTTTTTTGTTTGGTCCGTTTCACAATAAAACTTATCCAACAATCACGTTTCTTGTGCGAAATTCAATACATTTTGACTTAATTGTATAAAAATAAAATGTTATGCCAAATGTTACATTAAGGACGGGGGAATGGTAACTATAATTATATGCTTGATATTTTGTTTCTGACTTAATGTTTAATTAATGAAATGTGAAGAAAATTCTTAGAAATAAAATTCTTCTCGATTTCAAATATTTCAAGTTTCAATATTTATTATGTATTCAATGGAATTAAAGAGTTTTTTGTTTAAACAACAAGCAGTCTCTAGTACCCCCGATGTTATTACAAAATCTCTTTTTCTTCATATAAAGGAAATAGTATGGAGAAATATGCAAAGTTAAAATGAAATATTAAGCTCACGATAAGACGCGACAATGTACTTACATTTTAAACCTAAAAAT